TACAATTGGTTAAATTCGAAAAACAAATACCAGAAGTTACACGCATTGTCAGATATGTGAACATTCGAAACTCCCAAAGACGATAAAGCAGTAACAGTTTCATTAAATTTCATTCTTTTTTCAATCTCGGTGTTTTCCTGATCTTCTCCACCTACTAGCAACTTGCAGATCTTCTTTTTATTCTCTAAAGAATCGTCTACGTATCCTTCAACAACATTTGAGGATTTCCAGACTCCATGTCTTTTTATAACCGACATATCAGCTCCTGCGTTGGCTAATAAAGACGCTGAAGTTCTTCTAAAGCAATGTCCAGTATATTCTTTTGCACTTGGGAGTTCCAAAAAATTTGCAATTTTACTTGGAGACCACCGAAGGTATTGATGCCTACTGGTTGCACGGTATATCTTTTCTTTTTATAATTTATAAAAAATCTGGCATTAGGAGTATGAGATGGGCGCAGTGTTGCTTATTTGCGAACCATATCCACCAAGTTTAGGTCTTTGAAATTTCCTTTTGTTATTGTGAACTCACGAGGCACTTTTGTTTTAGTGATCGGCAACATAATTTTCATAAATTCTCCTAAATCTTCTACATCATTTAATTTTAAATTGAGTAATTCTTGCCTCTGACAAGCTCCCGTAACTCCTATTATTAAAACCACCTGAAAACAAAAAATAAATAGTAACCAAACTTATATGACAAAAAAAACTCTTACTTTTTGCATTAAGTATCTTCGTCATTTGCTGTTGTAAGAAACTTTTCAATATTTTCCTTACTGAAGCTTTTGGATTTCCTGGCGCGATATCCTTCATTTTATCGTTTCAAATTTGTGTACTTACTCAAATCAAGGTTTTTGTTGATTGAAATCACGGTTCTTAACATGGAATATACACTCGACAACGTTGAGGGCTTCACAAGTTTTGATTTTTCAAGGAAGTGCGCCAACATCACTTTCTCATTAATGCAATTTACTTTTTGTTTAGACCTTCATTCTTCGAAACGGCTGTATGTTGGGCAGCAGCTTCAATACGCTCTAGAACGTTGTCTTCTTCTGAATCACTCATTTTTTTCCAAAAACAGTTAAATATTCGCAAACTTTTAAAAATGCGACAATCTTCAGATCGTTTTCGTTGTTTATTATAAAAATGAGACTAACCAACCAAATATTTTCAGCCACCTATCTTTTAAATTAAATTCATTCGCGGTAAAAATTAATTAATATTTTACTTAAATTTTGGCAAAATTGTAAAAACCCTTGTAGGTATACAACGCGTTGCAATACTTCACTTTTTTCGCACACGACGCATTCTCAAACGTTATTATTTATTTATTTTTAAAATGCTAGTTGTAGGAATATAAGAACATAACTTTTAAAATATAAATTGTGTAATTTTTTCATTCACATTTATTGTGTAATATTGTACATAAATATTATGACATAATAGAAGTAACAAAATGTCGTAGAATGAGAAAAAACATGATTTATTGTTTCTAGGAAATCATTTACTTCAAATTAAAGAACGCTTTTGGCTCATTAGTGAAAGCTTATTACAAGTTGTAGGCACGCCTGAAATAAAATTTGAAATCACTTCGTGTTAAATTTTGAAAATACGTGCTTTTACTTTATTATTAAAAGTAGATAAAAAAATTACACTATGGCTAAGAACACTTTGCTCTAGCGTTTGTTGGAATCTTTATTAGCTTTCGTTGTACAGGGTGCTAACTAGAAGTGATTAAATTGTGCAGTTTTCAAACAGTCGTAACTTATAACGTTATATTTTTAAATGTAACATTCTATATTTTTTTAGGATACTGAATTGGTAACTAGCGTTTACATATGGTTACAAACGAGTCCGGTAAATTTTATTTATCTACCGGTAGCCTATCTACGTGACTCGTTTGTAACTATGTAAACGCTAGTTAAATTTTTGTTTAATTTGAAAGTGATCGTTGCAGTATCCTAAAAAATCTTATACAATATACGACCAGTAGCATTTTTTATGGTCTTACCAAACATACAGGTCTCAGGGCCATAAAAATGTTGCTACCTGTCTAACACCGTAAATAGCTATTACGATAAATCTTTTTATCTAAGTACACATTTCGTGTACTAAATATTTAATATTATTTAAAAATATATTTAAATTTTGAGAGACTACGAAACAATGCACATTTAATTAATTTATTTTTACTGCCACGAATACAAGAAACACTTTTACTCTTTTATATTAAATTTTTATAAAGGTGTAAAAAATGCACTTAAATGGATCTTTAGCAAAGTGTAAACTAAAATATAGGGGGTGTTTTTAGTAGTTGTGCAGAAATTTTAATAGGTAATGGTAGAGAACAAAAGGAGCGAAAATAACTTAAGTTGTCTTATCCGAATGTTTATATTTTTAATATAATTTTTTTTTTGTTGGCGCCTTAAACTTCACCAACAATTGTAAACTTTAACTTTATACACCTAAACAAGTACAAAAATAAAATGTTGAAATTTTTAATTAGGTGCTTCCTAAACTAGATGGGATTAGGGTAAAAATTTACTCTAACTATTTTGCCTGTGGTTTCTTGCCACTTTCAGCAACAAAATTTCATAGTTTTTTATAAAAAAAGGTCTTTTGTGTTTTTCCGATACAATTTACGGATTTTTAGTAAAAATCGGTTCAAAAATTTATGTT